GGGCCAATATGTCAGAGTGATCCACTTACATAAATCTTAAGTATATTCAATCTCAGTTTAACCAATATTCACATTTTTCTCTTAAGCGTTCAACTAGGAATTCATCTTTCTTTGAAGTGTGTACGTCTTTGTCTTCTCACTGTATCCATCTTTTCCCTTCACTCACAAAATCACACATTTGTGGGGTCTCTGTTTAAACATTCTTTTTTTTTTAATCTTTACACCTTTTTTCTCTCTCCTCTTTTCTCTGGCCTTCTAGTTCTTCCTTCCCTGTATAGTAAAAAGCTGTCGTAGCCACACTCCACATAACCAACTCGAGGAATAACCTGGTACTCTTATTCCCACTGTACAACAAACGGACAAGGGAGCTGGCTGGCTGGACACCTACTGCTTTCCACAGAGGCTAGGCATCCTCTTCAGGATTCCCAAACACTTTGGGCTCCCACCAGCCGGGTTAATTTCTACACCTGTTCTTCTGGCTACGAGTGTGAAAAGAGAAAGCACTGTTGTTTATAAGAAAACTGAGTGGAATGCTTGGGAAAGCACTGATAAATGTGAGTTACTAAAGTAGAATTCCTATTGATTTAGTAGGAGTGAGAAGATTCCAAACGCTGAGAAAATAATAAAAATCTAGGCAGATTGCTTCCAGTTCTTGCTTCACCTGTAAAAAAGCTAAAAGTGTGAAACAAAGAACATAGTACAGTCAGCCCTACATAGCCACGGCTTCTGCACCCTCAGATTCAATCAACTGAGGATTGAAAAACATTAAAAACAAAGAAACAAACAAAATCCAGAAAACTGCATGAAGCAAAACTCGAATTCGCCACACTGGCAACTATTGATATTTATGCAGCATTTACATTGTATTAGATATTATAAGTAATCTAGAGATGATTTAAAATATATGAGAGGATGCCATTTTATATAAGGGACAGGAGTATCTGTGGATTTTGGTATCTGAGGGGGGTCTTGGAACCAATACCCCTTGGATACCAAGGAATGACTGTATAAGTATTGTTTATACTGGCTGTCTTATAAAGGGCTTACATCGAAAGGCTAGTCAGTTTACATATATTTAGGTTAAACTAAAATGTTTAAAGTACATATAATTTTTTGGTGATTTCCTACTTGAACGTTTTCATTTACCAACTACTCATTCTTTCTGAGTCACATTAAAGGCTACGACAATTTTTTTCTTTTTCCAATTACTGATTGGATAAAAGCAAGATCTAAAGACACTTGAGCTTCTCCTAATCAGAAGCTGATAGCAGGACAGAGAGATTCAAAGGGAGCACAGAAAAGAACTTGGCCTCCCCTTACATCTATGAGACATGCATTGGCATATATTGTCATGAAGAGGGATTCTTGAGATACAGAATCTGTTTTTTAAAATGAACTTTAGGATTGAAAATGTTAAAAGGAAAAAGCCAGTATCTCTATATAAGCACTTGCCTATTCTTGAGAGTCAACTGGAATACAGCTCATTTTCTATCACTTCTTTCAATATTTAATATTGAGTAAGTTTAGGGCTTCCCTGGTGGCGCAGTGGTTGGGAGTCCGCCTGCCGATGCAGGGGACGCGGGTTCGTGCCCCGGTCTGGGAGGATCCCACGTGCCGCGGAGTGGCTGGGCCCGTGAGCCATGGCCGCTGAGCCTGCGCGTCCGGAGTCTGTGCTCCGCGACGGGAGAGGCCACGGCAGTGAGAGGCCCGCATACAGCAAAAAAAGAAAACACCCTTATCTTGGAATACCAACTTTTTTTCTGACTTAAAAGACCTTAAAATATTGAATGGAAAGAGTTATGAAATTTACATTCACAGGCTGTCCTGTATTTCTTTTTATTTGTAAAAAAAAAAAAAAAAAAAAAAAAAAAAAAATATTGAGTAAGTTTAGGGCTGAGGACCTCTAGACATATGATACTGTTAACTTCACTTTTAGACTATCAGTAGGCTGCCATTTTGATTTTCAACCAAGCTCCACCATTTCTTACATAAATAACTGCTCCTCAATACGTTTGAGAACAACAGGAAGTGAAGGAAAAAGAATAGGGTTGTACGTGATTTTATGAAAGAACAAAAGAGAAAGATACCTCAGACCCAGTTTGACCAGTACCTACACTAGGTACTGTGTAAAAAGGCCTTCAATCTTTATTCTTAGATTTTCAATTCATAAAATTTGATTTGACTTTCTGTCTTCCCTTGCTATTGTACTTAAAATAATCAGGTAATCCTTAGGGAAATTTACCTAAACCAGTCGAAATTAATCCTATAGGTAGCTTGAGATACCATTTCCTCAGGAGAAACATAACTCGATTAAGTTGCAAAAGTCAACTAGACTTAATTAGAATTCCCTGTAGCTGCATTTTTGTTTGTTTTGTTTATGTTATGTTTTCACATTTCTGTACTGCTTTGGAAATATTATTTCTAATGCTGAAATGTGTTTATTTAGTAATATGTGTTGTCTCTCACATACTCCTTTCCTCCATTCTTTTTTTTTTTTTTTAACATCTTTATTGGGGTATAATTGCTTTACAATGGTGTGTTAGTTTCTGCTTTATAACAGAGTGAGTCAGTTATACATATATATATGTTCCCATATCTCTTCCCTCTTTGTCTCCCTCCCTCCCATCCTCCATTCTTATAAATTGCTTTTCTATTAAATCTACTCAAGTCAGCAGAGAGTGAGGCAGAGGGAGAGAGAGAGAGGGGGAGGGAGAGGCTGAAAGAGAGAGAGAGACAGAGAAACAGAGCGGGACAGACAGACATCTAACACTGCTAAGCAGAGCTGCAAACTGCCCAAGGTTATAAAACTAGACTGAACTGATTTGGCCCCCATTTCTCTGTTTTCTGGCCTCAAGGGTTGCTTTCTTTGAAAAGGCTTCTGTGTCTCTTTTCCTACACTGACCCGCCCTGTGAAATAGGAAGACCCAAGGGTGGGAGGTGATGCATGGGGAGAGGGGCAGCCAGCGGAGCCAAGCATCACTCCACTCATGCAGAACTGAGGCGGCGGGGCGCGGGGCCGGGGGGGGGGGGGGGCTGTTGCAGGGGGGGGGGGGGGGGGGGGAGAGGGAGAAATGGAATCGGAAGCAGGCAGGATCTAGAGCAGAATGAATCAGTCCTACTGGGAGTGTGAACATCTCATGCATATCAAATTATGCATGAATCTGAGAGCCTGATACATGAATCCCGGTGAGCAGATCCACATGTGGGAAGGAGAGTGCAAGTGTTAGGGGGAAGCTGAGGGGAAAGGCTATCAAGAGGGAGCATCCGTCAGTCTGTCTCTCAGGTAAATGACCCTGTCCTCTGAGGGTTAAAAAAAGCAGAAAGGGCGGCAAGGCTAGAAAGCAAATGTGAAGTGGGGAAGAAGCATTGTGCCTCTCAAATTTAACTTTCTTACTTCAGAAAATTTTAGGTCAATCCTATTCTTCTACTTCGAAAACATTCAAAATTGTTATTTAAAAATCTAGGTGGAAGCGCTCAATGGGAGAAGGATTTCTATACCCTAATTAAGATGGCTAAAAGTTATAAACGATATTCAGAGGGAGAAAAGAGCTCTGCTTGCAGTCAGAGTATGTGTGACCAGGCTTGGGAGCCTCTTTCTCCACGACTAAGTGGAAGTAACATCAACACCTCACAAGGGCTTGTGAGAAGAGAACAAATAAAGAGAATAAAGAGACTAGTCCAGTGCCTGGCACACAGTAGGTGTTCGCTTTCTACAAAGTGCTAAGTTGGCATGAAGGGAGGTGCAACTTCCAGTCAGGATCTGAAACCTGTTAAACAGAGAAGGAAATTGGGTGCTTCTCGAATTGGCAAATTGGCTCTATATCATGAATTGTCAGTAGGTAGGATGTTGAGAAAACCATGACGTGTTATAGCTCTCTCGAATGAAAGGGTTAGTTTCCAGCATAACCAGTATTTGAAAAGTCACAGAACGGGTGCCACTCTAAGTCACTGATGTGAGCGAGGGACTCAGTTACAGGGATGCCCAAGAAAGCCTCGAACGGCTCCAATTCATGGACCTACGTGATCCATCTGTTCAGCCAATTCACAGAAGCCCGCTATCAGCATCCTGATCAGGTGGGCCAATGGGCGTAGCTCCATTCAAATTTTAAGTTAAAAATAATTAAATCGTAGAGGAAATCTGTCAGAAATGTAATGAGAGATTAACTTGGAGAAGAGCAAAAGAGAAAAAAAAAGCTTTTGGCTGATCGGCAGAGGCTCCCACAGGCAGCTTGTAAGCCCATTAATGACTTGGCCTGCGTCCTGGGTGTTTACTGATTCACAGCTTGTTTAACTTCTTGTATATTCCCAACCATTCCCCAAAGTGGGCTATACCTCATCTACTATACAGTGGCTTAATTTGCACTACAAATGAGTTTACTCAACCAATTAGAACTCCAAATACTGCTAAGTATTTGGAGTATATGCCCAAATTTTATAAAAGTGGTGCTTCATAGACAATCCTATGCCAGAATTCCAGCGGCAATAAAATTCAGCAGTGCTCAAACCCACAGATCCCCTACATCAAAGTTCAGTCTTTTCCCTAATCAAACAAGAAATCCTCAGATGATCTCCAGAACTAAAAAGGACTAAAAGCCAATAATATATAAACAAAACCCACAAACAACTGCATGCTAAAACAATCTTCTTAGGTAGAAGAGTTTCAGTGAGGTCCTCAAAAGAAATAAAACATTGTAAAAATAAAACATCAGAAAGTATTTATAAGCCACATCAGGAAATATGCCATTTGACATAATCCTGAAAACAAATCAGTGAAGCATAGAAAGCACTCACAAATATTTAAGTTCTTCACTAAGTTAATGGTGTGGAAAATATCAGAGGTGAAGAAAACACCATAAGGAGAAACATCCCTTGTGGCGTGACAAAAATCGATTCTATCTCATCTGCTGTGTGTGTTATAAATGGCAATAAATGTCTACGGGATTGTTGATTGCTGTCCACCTACAGATGGAATTGGGATTAATACTTAATTAAACTAGAGTTCTGGGCTGTCTAAAATGGATCAGGACATAGTTTGCGTATTAATTACTCTTCCAAACTATTAGTAACTCAGAGGGATCTTGTCAGTATTGACCTCATGCCCTGAGAGGGAAACCGTGTATCTATAAAAATGAATCAAGGAAGGGGCTCCACTAATGTGGTCGGACTATAGCATAGAGTTCAATTGAAAAAAAAAAAAAAATCCTGGTGTTATGTAAAGACTAAAGGAAGTGTGTTGCTTTAAATTTTCTATCAGCCTTCTTATTAAAGTACTACTCTCCCAGGGTTGACTGCTGGTCAGACAGGAAGTACTGGCTAATTCTCAAGTAGAAATGCTATAAATGAATTTATATATATTCATATATATATATCCAGATGTGTATGTGTATCTACATAAAAACAGGCATATACAAAAATTTTCCCTTACTTTAGAAATTTTTACTTTCTAAAGTCTTCCTCTCCCATGCTCTAAAATAACCCCAAGGTCACTTGAAATGTTTTCTGATTGGGTATCCAATGAAAAATGATTTGGGCTTCACCTGATACCCGTCAATGAAGGAGCAGTGATCTGAAAACTCAAGTCCCCAACAACATCTATTTGGCATAAGATCAATGTGAAGAATATATTTCTCAGGTGTGTTAAAATATAATAGAGAGTTTTCCTGAATTACTCACCCATAGGCTCCATTGCTAATCAATTTAATCGTCTCAAAATCACTTTCCCGAGGTTTCCTTCGAAGTTTCAGGGAAGCATTAGAGCTCTTGGAGACAAAATATGGATGTTAAAAAATAGCTCAGAATTTAAGAAAATGATTTTAGCAGTAAAATAACTAATATTTGAATTGCATGCTCTATTGTTTAATATGTTAAAGTGCAGTATTCTAGCCAAAGGAACCTGGGGGACGGCTTTAAAGCTCAATTTTCCACAGCAGTGCTGATAAACTACTCCTCATGACTGGCTCAGTTTCATTTAAGTGAACATCATTTCCAGGAGACAGAGGCACCACGTTTTTGAAAATTCCTGATTTTTAATTTACCTCTGTAAACCATTCAGGTGAGCCTCACCCTAGTCTTTTAAAGTTTTAAGATTAAAGTCCAAAATGCCAAACCTTAATTCTAGTTTCAGTCAATCAAAAAAGAATGGGCTGGAGTGGCCCTCTACGGGTTGGTGGATCACGTGGCCTCTCTGCCACTCACCAGGGCATGTCCATTTCATTCCTGTGGCAACCTTTCCTGTTTGGAAGAGGTAGTCGGCAACAAATGAGACAGCCAGGCAGAGCATGCCCGTCTTTCTTTACTTCCATCCACCGTAAGTCTTACTTACCATGGTTTAGACACCAATTTTCAAAAAGATAGCTCTTTTAAAAGTTTAGTTCAAAGGACACGAAAAAACAAAGTTTTGTTTTGTTTTGTTTTACGAAATTTTCTCACACCCCATGTATCTTAGCACTGAGAGGGTTAAGAGTCGTTCTGCTCCCTCCGCAGAGACCAGAATCCCCTTCCCATAATTTTGGAAGAAACCCCATGACTCTGAGGTATGTGCCATCCTCCCCCACTCAGTGCTGGCACCCGCCCACTTGGCTGCCCCACCACCTCTGGAAGATTTAGACCGAGCTTCCCACTGTCCTCAGTGCCTGCATTCTCTCACCATCCTGAGTGACTTTCGTATCTACACAGATAACTCAGCCAACAACCTGGCCTCTGGGCTACCTGACCTCCTCAATTCAACCAGTTCCTTTCTCTGTTTCTCCTTGGCCTCTGGCCATAGGACCTGGGTCTACTCATCACCTGCCAACACCCCACCTCAGAAAACATAATCCAAGACTGGGACCCCTTACTTGTTCAGCCACCCCACTCCAACTACTCTCCACAGCTCCAGCTACAAGGCCCTGAACCAGCCCTCTTGTCTCATTAACTCCTCCTCACCTGAGTGACCTCACCTATGCCTATGGATGACTCCTAAGTCACCTAGACCATCCACCAAAACCTCTCACTCTGAGGGCCGAAGATCCCACACCTTATATACAATTGACTGCTCGGTGGTTCTCCTTGGATGTCTCAAAGGAACATCAGCTTAAGCGCATTCAAAATTATGGCGGTTATGATGAAACTAACAAAAACAGCTATCATATATTTAGCATATGTGAAGCTGCCCTAACCATTTTACACAGACTACCTTATTTAAGCTTTTTTTTGGGGGGGGTTCGCGGGCCTCTCACTGTTGTGGCCTCTCCCGTTGCGGAGCACAGGCTCCGGACGCGCAGGCTCAGCGGCCATGGCTCACGGGCCCAGCCGCTCCGCGGCATGTGGGAATCTTCCCGGACCGGGGCACGAACCCGTGTCCCCTGCATCGGCAGGCGGACTCTCAACCACTGCACCACCAGGAAAGCCCCTTATTTAATCTTTTATATCTATTTTACAGTTGAGGAAACTGAGGCACAGAGAGTTTTTTTTTTTTTCCCCAAGCTAGTAAGAAGTGAAGCCAGCTTTGAAATCTGGAAACCTGACTCCAGAGCCTGGATTTTTAAGCCCCCAGGCTACACAGCTGCCCCTCTTTCCTGACCACCCCCCGATGCCGGGGGTGGTCCATCCTGGTTCCTCTTCTGCTATTCACAATTAGGAAGAATGGCACCAGCGTCCAGGACCTCTCATCTGTGTCACTGCTGCAGACTTTCAAATGGCCTCCCCAGGGTCACTCCAGCTGGCTTTCCTCACCCCATCTACTTCCTACACTGCCATCAGTGTGATTTTTTTTCACGTCGTTACTCTGTTTGGGTCATCTCCCTATCTACGCCTCCTCAACCTCCACACACATACATTTCCTCCACAGTTCAACAGCTTCCCGCTGTTCTTTGTTTTCTTTTTTGTTTGTTTGTTTGGCGGTACGCGGGCCTCTCACTGCTCTGGCCTCTCCCGCTGCGGAACACAGGCTCCGGATGCACAGGCTCAGCGGCCATGGCTCACGGGCCCAGCCGCTCCGCGGCATGTGGGATCTTCCCGGACCGGGGCACGAACCCGTGTCCCCTGCATCGGCAGGCGGACTCTCAACCACTGCGCCACCAGGGAAGCCCCCCACTGTTCTTTGAAAGAAACAATTTGACAAAGATGAACAGCAAGCACGCCTGTGTCTAGTTTTTACCCGAGCTTTCTAGGCTGCACGGTCTCCCTCACTCTTAAGCCTTCAGATATACTCTCTCCCTTGTATCACATGATGGTCCCTTGGCCTGGAATGTTCCCTCTGCCCCTTCTCATCCTAGTAACTTCTCACATCTCGAGTGTCCTTTCCTTAGGAGATCTTTCTGGACTGGTAAATCTCTTTATGTTACGAAGGTAAATCTCTTTAATGTTACGTTCCAGGAGCACATGGCCCTTTTTCTTTATAGATCTTACTCAAGTTTCTCATTTTGATTTTTTGTCATGATTTCTCTTTATTAATTTGTTTCTCTTTGAAGAGAGGGGATAAAACTGTATGCCTGGTGCCTTGCATATAGAAGCACAATAGATATGTGTTGAACAAATAAAGTAATTAGCACAGCCAAAATCTCCAGATGCTAGTAAACAGAAAAACCAACATCATATTTCATCAAGAAAGATACTTACTTTCACTGATTCATCTGTTTCTGGTGTTTCTGCTGTCCCACTATCATAGTTTCCCAGCTGAGCCATTTCTAAATTAAAAAAAAAAAAAAAAAAAGCTAAGTTTAAGAGAAGTAGGACAATTGTAACTAGACGAGTACTAAGCTAAAACAAAAGAAGCACAATTTCTCCAATATTAAAAAAAGAATTTACTCTATACTCCAATGTACACATGAGAAAATCTTAATTCCAAAATGGCAAAGAACCAACAACTGATATTGATATTTTGAAAGTGTTCATTTCATGCCCTTTTTCCTAGAACTCCATTTCTTATGAACACATAGACACAGCTACTTAGAGCTGGGTCTCTGCTCATGTTAGCAGGATTCACTGGCTGACACAATCACCACAGCTTGGAAAGGGTTTGGGGGCTCAATGATTATGCTTGTAATCAGATACTCAAGAGAGGCAAGTTTCCCAGGCTCTGACAGGCATCAGAGATGCACTGACTACAGCTCAGAGATGAGTCCCAAGTTGTCATGAGCATCCCTTGCTCCATTCCCTCACGTCCACTGAGAGCTAGCCCTCCTAGTACATAAGAATCCACAACTTGTCAGAAAGGAAGCAACAGCAGTTGTTAAGAGGAGTTTGGAGTTGAAAAGACTCGAGTTGCCACCACTAAGAGCACTTACTAGTGGCTTTTTAACCTTGGGTTCTTCCTCTGTAAGATGGGAACAATATTGTTCATCTCTTGGAGTTTTTTATGAGTATCACATGTGATAATGCATGTAAAGCTCTTAGCATGTTGACTAACAAAAATTAAGTGCTCGCTGAATGTTGATCGTTATTTATTACCATTAATTATCTCATGTAAAGTATTCAGTACTAGGCTGGATGCCACATGCTTGACACCAGCCTAAATTCTACCCTAGTGCTCTAGTTAAGAGACAAAGCATTTCATTGCTCAACCTACACTGGAATGCATCCTCAAGTCTATATAAGTAAATGAGAAAACCTAATTTATTTTACCGTTCATTTTGATTTTTATCAAACAATGCACACTTAAGAAAAAACAAAACATGTTTTATTAAAAAAAAAGAACATGAAAAATTTTTCTCCAAAACTTTAAAAGGGGGTTATCGCTAAGTGGTAGTAGGATCACAGGTAATTTGAATTTTCTAATTTTTGAAAATCCAACGTGTATAATAAAAAGTTATAGTTTTTAGTTACATATTTTTGTGTGCATCTAATATTATTTCTTAGGCTCTCAGAATTTTATGTATTCATGTTCTTATAAATATAATCATCCTTTTTTGGGAGAGATTACACATAACACACATGAAGCAAAGCAACAACGGAGTGCTGTCTTTAGAGAAAAATTAACTCCAGAAACCAAAATAACTGGAGATTGACACTAACCCAGTTTACTTACGGAGGAAGTTCGGGAATTAAAAATGAGCTCAGTACAAACTGTGTGCTTTCTTGGTGTCATTCAAATGACCTCAACGTCCTATGTGACTAGCACTTTAGATTTATAGACTAGGAGGTAGACTATAATGTATTCAGTTGGAGGGGCTCAAAGGGGCAATTTTACTATTATTTATTTATTAAGCATTATTACATCTTAGGTGCAGAGGTGAACTCATATAATCCTAAAAACAACCCTATGAATAGGTACCATTATCCAGTTTTTATGGAAAACACTGAGGCGCCAAGAAGCTCATCACAGTGTGATCAAGGTCACACAGTCTGCACTGACACTCTGGGTAGTCCCATTCCAGAGTCCCACTCTTAACCTTCAGATGTCAGGCTTTAGGTCTGCTGGTGTCCGTGATGACAAGAAGGGAAACAAATGTAGATCAGAGTTTGCAATAATCACATTTTAAGTGATTGGAGAAAACAGATTAAAAATTACCCTCAGATCTGAATCAAGAAAATTAAGTGTTAAAAGTTAAAAACAACTCCCAGTGATAGATTGGTATAATTAAACATGAAACTTGTCAAAAATCACTATTAAAATGTTTTAAAGACAAATAAAGGCATATAAATGGGCCTCAGATTATTCACCTACCAAAGGTTCAGCCTACAGTGATATTTACTACCAGGTAAGAAAACTGTGAAGAGCTCACTCAGTCTACAATTCAAAGGCTGACACAGCTAACTCTGCCGGCGTGAAGAGTCACCGTAATATACTTTGACAGTCTCCCCCACTCCAATTACTTTCATAAAAAAACAAATTAAAAGATGGTTCTATTTTAAATAGAGTTTCTGCTAAATAACTATGATCTGGGAAATACATATTATTTGTAAGCAGTGGGTAGTAATGGAATGGAACCAAGAGTCAGCTTTTGAAGCAGGAAGCTAAGGCATCATTTTGTAATGCCTGAAGAGATTTTTAAAACTCATCTAAATACCATTAAACATCTGCCCTTTTTATTTCAGTGATTTAAACCATTTCTGAAGACTCATGGTTCAAAAAGGTAAAGATGGTAATTTAAAAGCTATGGGGAAAAAATCTCTCCCCAGGGAACTTTTCAGAAAAGCAGCCACCAGACTCTGATAAGTGATGAATCTGTTGTGGTACTGCTTTCAGTACAGTATAAATTTATCTGGCATTATCTCCCGGTAATGCATGCATCATTTCACTGGAAGCAAAGATCCGATGGCCATAAGAGCAAATAAAGCAGGGGAAATAGGAGAGCAGGCAGAGAGCAGCAGGTTCCCTGGCTGTAGATGGGAGAATATCTGCCAGCAGTTAGCATCATCACAAACAACTTAGCATATAACACTTTGCAAATTCAACTTAATGACCCAGGAAGGCAGTTTTGAATAAAGGAGTCTATGATTGCTTTTGAGTCTTTTCAGGCAGTATATAACCTAAGTGTTTTAAATGACAATCCCAAACAATAATGAACAGGAAAAGGTGGTGGAAGGAGTGGTTTCCCAATATCAGATTTGAAAAAAAAATCACTAACAGGGTGCTTCCTCTTCTCTGCATTTAATAGCATTAGACCTATATTTTTTTATTTGAATCAACCATGAATCCTTGTACAAGTTCTAAAAAAATTTCCCCCCAACTGGCTCTCCAGTACATTACTATTTTTCATACCTTTTTGAGACAAGTAAGTAAAAACAGATTTACGAACACTGAATCTGATTTAAAGTTAATCATCAGTTATCAGTTACCTGACTCCCAAATTACATTTAAATGTCACTTTTAAATTAAATGTAATTAATTCATTTACCAACATTTTCAAAATGTGCACCCTTGAGAAGAATCCAAAGGAGCTCTGCAAGGGAAAAAATAACCCCCAGGGAAGATGGAAATCTAAACCCTTCTTGGATGCTCTGGAATTGTTAGGCTGATAAGACTCTAGGATTTCAAGGTCTCTTCCCTACTCTAGTTAAACACAAAAGTCAACATATAGTTCTTTCCTTTAAATCACAATTGGTCCCCAAATTTGGCCTTTTCAATAGATAGAGCCAAAACATGAGAAAAAATAAAGACTTGCCACTAAGTTTTTCCATGAGGCCACGGTGCCTACGCAAGTAAAAGTTTAGCCCAATCAGGGTACTCACCTTCCAGAGGATCCTTATTGAGACCCAGCTGGCTAATGATGTACCTGGGAATGTCAGTTTTAATAACCTGTCCTTCTTTTGCATGGCCTTCTGCTGCTTCCAATAGGTAGTAAAATTCTTCAGGATCAAATTCCTAGCAGAAGACAAACAGAGATGGATACTTCTTCGAGCCAAAACTGTCTGCGGTTTTATTACATAAACCACACTCACAGTAAACTTGCTGGATACACATGGTAATAAGTTATTTATACAGAAGGAAGGCAGATGGATTACTTCGTTTAAAAAGCATATAATTTTCAGTTCATATTCAAAGCCTAATCATATTCTAAGACAATACATTTCAGTACTTGGTAACCCAAAGACAATTTCCATTTCCAACTTCCTTGTAATGTGACTTTGAAGGCACTAGGCCCCACTTAAGATATCTATCTTATTGAAAATGAACAGGTCGGAATTTTTAATTGTGCCTTTTTAGTAAAGTTTAAAAAATCTGTGAATCTCATCCAGAAGATTCAGTTTCTCTCTCTATACAAACAGCCACAAAAGAAATAATGTTAGGATGCATTTTTCTCAAAGGTTTTGTAGGAAACTCCCTTGGTACAGAGGTGTCCAAAAATATTAGAAAGAAAAATCCCCAAATTTTATCACCGAGCTCTAAAATTAAGTTATTAATATTCACATAATGTGAACATTAAGAGAGAAAAATATGAAATTAGCACCTCCAGTTACCTCTGTCTTCAGTAAAAATTTGGGAACACGTTTTTCCTAAGTATTTTACTTTATTTTGCTGTCTGTTGCTTCTAGTATGTAATAAAAACCTTAGGATCACATCACTCTAGATGGATGCTGCGGATTTATGTGTTGTAAACAATTACAGATTTAAAGCACAGTTACTGTTTTCAGTTAGATTTCCTAGATCCTCCCACTCCCAGAATTTTTCTCCTTTTGATTAGTGCCCCATATAGGCAACTGTGGAATCTCAGTATTTCACCTGAGAATTACTCAAGTATTTTCTAAAGGCCATATGAAAAAGCATGCTACAAACAGAGTAAGGCCAAACCACTGTCCACACTCAGTACCCTTTACATAAACCTACAACCAGAGACAAGGCAAGCCTGGGACTACAGGCCTAAGATGACTGGTCGGGGGAAACATTCCCTAAAACTCTCAAACTCCAGTTTCATTTGAGCTTTAAACATCATGGAAAGCAGCAACATCTTCAGATCTACTTCTAAGCTCACTTGTTTCTATCTTTGATAGGCTACATGTACTTTTACTGTTTCTCTTCTGATTAAGAGTGATTACTGTAAAAAAAAAAGTCATTTCCCCCTTTAGCGCAACATCTCTCTTAGCATGTCTGCTGCCGTCCAGAGAAGCAAGTTTTGATGCTAAATGGTATTTTCCCCCAAACTGAACAACTGCAGGGAAGTACAAGCTGTGGTGCATAATTCAAAAGGTACAACAGGAAGAGCAGGAAACACTCAGTCTTCTGCCTGCATCTGCCAGTCACACAGTTCTCCCCAGAGGCATCTTGAGTATTCTTCCTTCCCTTTATCCTTCCAGAGACACTCAACTGCTGAATGATGCTTTCGATTCTGTGATTCCAAGTGTCCCGGCCATTGATGGAAAGCCTTCCTCCACCACACACCTACCTTTCTCCTCCAGACTCACCTTCCACCACATCTCACTATGCACAGGTATGTGTTTACGGGGCTATAAACATTTCACTGTTATAGAAAACTATGAATCTTAATTAAAGTAAGAGCAAAACCAAAGCAATATCACCATGTCTGTACATATGTGTACGTAAAATTCTGAAAAGCTGTATTGTGCTCAGTGTTATAAATGGCTATTAGCGAAACTTAAAAGTGAGTTTTGACACTACATTAAGCCCCATAAAACTATTCTTATGTTCGAAGCTTCGTCTTTGTTCAGTGTTGACTGAAATCTCAATCAAAATTACATAAAACAAAGCCAAGATTTTAAAACAGGAACATGGTCACTGACTAAAGAAAGTATAATTGATAAAACAAACTAATCTTGGAAAGTCTCATTCCTTTAGGTCTGGATAAGGCCATACTGTATTCTCCGAATGGACGGCTGACTAGCACTTATTTCGAACATGCCACATTTTAAAAGTAACAATTATAACCACAGGTCACCGTATATCGTATCTCTGATTTCCCTCTCTCTTCATCTTGGCACCTCCAAAAAAGTGGGGTACAGAGAGTGTTCTAAATGAGCTACAACATAGAAATTATGCTGAGATAAAGTCAAGCACATTATTTCATGATCGTTTTTTAAGTTTGACCAGACTGTGATATAACTATCTCTTAACACAACACAAGTCCTAGAACTTTTACTGAAAACCGGGCAAGAAAAAGCACACACGGCTGTTGTCATCAACATTCACGTGTCGCTGTTTCTCTTGACTCTTTCTATTTAGCTCTTTGAAGCCAAATGCAATTGGAGCTTTCTGGTGGTCCCTGCTTTCCCACAGTTAACAGTAAGTAACAAAATCACCTCGAGGGGCAACTCACCAGGCACTCTAATAACCGAGCAGGACGGGCAATAACAATCAGGATCTTTCGAACTAGCTGTTTGATAAATGCCAATTCTCCACTTTCTGAACGATCATGAGCCTATGAGGAAGCAATGAAAAGAATGATGAGACAGAGCTGCTCCACTAAATGGGAAAGAAAATCAGCAAAGCATGCTAATTAGATAACTGCAAATATCCAAAAATTAAGCGACTTAGAAAATACTTCTAAAAGATTGAGAAGCAGACATTATCTCTACATAAATGGACACTATTAAACGTCTATATCTACAAAATGGCTCTATCAGCTAAATTTTAATTGCAAAACTTTGACTTATTCTCTGTGTTAAAAATCAAATATTAGGGCTCTCAATGTGGACCATGAGTGAAGCAGACATTAAAAGTTTATGACACATTGAGTACATGGCCCAAGTAGAGTGGGCAGCTGATGAGGAACCTTGATTTTCCAGATGTAACTTCTTAAATGTATGAAATGGCTAACACAGTGAAGGACTGATTTTGTTAACCTGGGCATTTAACACATTCATGAAATATGTTTTATATATACAAGACTATTAGCCTGTAAGTTAGCTATTTCATAATATGTAAGAAGTTGTACACTGCTTATTTCAAATGTTAGGTGAATACTGTTTATACTTGGATACATACATATGAATTTGATTTCACATAATGAATAAATAATACCTAGATACTCAACTCAGTAAAGCTTAACTGACTCAAAATCTTCTAAAATTTTATTTTACATGTTGCCTAACATGTGAAATCTAAGCACAAAAGATATCCTGAGGACAGAACTTAGTTTATTAACAGTCATTTTAATTTTCAATATTTTTTGAAGAAATGAGGTAAATCTGGCAGATATAAAACCAAAGTTTTAAAAGTTTAAATATAAACTTCTACACATGCTCACTTTCAGGCTTTCTTAATTTTTATGATTTGCTTTCCTTCAAGGATTAAAAAAAAGTATCAAGGTGATGTTGGTGCAATAGAATACAATTTCATAGATATGGTAATAAACATTTAAAATCATTCTTGAAGGTGCTTTATTCTGACAAGAACTAGCCTGCCCATAAAAAGAAGTGTCAGACCAAATCTATGAAAAATGATTATACTTAGGAGTAGTATGTTTACTAAATTTAAGTCATTAAATCAAAGGCAACTTTCCAAAATGTAGGTAGAGAAACCATATACAGGAAAAACCAAAAAGCTAACATTTAAAAGAAAAAACACAGAGAAAATGACCACTGGTGAATAACTGTAGAACAGAATGTGTTTAAAGACAACCAAGTGTTAACTATAGCTATAGGTTCTAGTAACCAGTAAGGATGTCAGGACACATACAAGGAGACATACATAATATTTAAACTGTCTTTAAGTTTTCTTTTCATTTTTTGTTTTGTAACAAAAACGGATTTAGGAAGATACAGTGAATACCAAGAAATAAGGTTAGATGTCTTCTTTATAGTTTATCCTTAATCAAAACTAAACAGAAAACCTTAAAGATGAAGCCAAAAAAACCCACCTAACTTCTGGATTGATAATCCTCTTACTATAATAATTACTGCTTTATGGATTAAGGAATATAAAGAGAGTCTAAAAAGCCTAAACATGTTTTGGTGGTCTCTTCAAGGAGAAACAAGAACTTTATATCTTAAAAAATTAAAAATAGCTCAGATTATACAAATTCCATTTCAAAAATTGTAAAAATAATCAGTTCATTCCAACTTCTTACTTCTGAGAATTATCAGCCGCAACCAAGGCCAAAACATACAATGAGTTATACTAACACAAATAATATTTTGTCTACTATCAATAGGGGAGATGGGAACTTTGTTAAAACAACACCAAACAAAACCACACACTCAGCATGAGAAGAGAAATAGTTTAGTGGCTGCCGGCAGCAAGCTCCAGCATTCCTGGATTCCCTGTGTTTGTACTTTAAGTGTTGGCCAGTATAAAAAATATGGAGACTAAGATTTGAGAGTACGTTATAGCTTCCTGGGCACTTTATTTTCTTTGGCTAAATACACCTAAGTGAAAAAAGAATGGAGACATAAAAGCTTTCCTCTGGAATTGACCTAGACCTCAGGACTTTAAAAAGGCATCAGTTAAATCAAGCTACTCAACCTCAGGGGGACTTGGCCTGAGTGTGCAAAGGATTGACAATGGGAACAGTGGCGGGGAGACAGGCTAGGCGGGCACACAATGTCATGGCTGGGAACTGACAATAATTGCATCGACGGGAAGGCAAAGCCAGGCCTCACAATGTGATTCTATCCGAAGGAGCAAGTTCCCCTGAGACCTGTTAGCTCCAAACTCTGGAAGGACACTGTGAATGTGATTCTGAAGACAGTTTTAATTTTCACAAAAGGATTGAAGGAAAATGTTTATCTGTGAAAATAAATAAGAAAACATCCTTATTCAAACCTGATGATGCTCTTTATGTTACACACGTATACATGCTTCTCTGCCCGAGAGAGAAATTTCTCTAAAAGTCACCAATGTTAACCTATTACGTGGTGCATTCAGATGATTTTTGAAACCCTAAGATTTTTTTTAGTGGCCATGAAACAACCTGCCAAGTCTGTCATACAGAAACAAAATTAAGTGGGGGATTTCAATGTAAATAGCTTCACCTTTGGGTTCTACCCTTTTCAGGGAATGCCTATGAAGGAATGAACCACAGAACTTAACCAGTAATTATGGTAATAGCCTGGGACTGAACTATGGAATTAAGGAAGATCTAGCTCACAGAGGTAAATTAATTTTCATCATAATTTACAGCAGAATTGGTCCATGAAAAATTGGAAATTGACAACAAAACCTGAAGACAGTGTGTTCATCCAAAGACAGTCTGAGAAACATTCCCTTAGTGAGCTGCAAGAGGTTGAAATGTGAGAAATGGGAACGGAGCATAGAAAACTCTGTTGGGAGGTTTAGAATGGGAAAGGGAGGAAAACTGGTGGCTGCTAGTCAGAGAGGGATCATCTCATCTTGCCACAACTAAATTCAGTATGAGCAAAGGACAGATGGATTTCTAGAAAATTAGGATGCCAATATTTTCTTTCAGTTCCATGCAATTATTTACACAATCATGCTTAGAGAAAACCACCTACGGTTTTATTTACATGGGCTTAATGTATGCCGATGGGATACAGAAATACAATATATCCAAACATATGGGCTAAACAGGTTTTACTTGTAGGCTGTGGCTGATCAATTTCAGTCAGGACAGCAATATTACGCGTTAATTGCATTCCACTATACACCCTCCCTTCCTGTCCTGGGTGTTATCAGGAGCTAGGACTGCAAGTGTTAAGCCTGGAAGGGGCCTGTGTTTATCTGTCATTTTAGAAATTGGATATTTTGTTAGAAGAAAAACTGACACTAATGAAAATATAAGTTGCCATTTACTACCCAACACCACCTGCAGGTTGATTAATAGGACACATGGCCTGGAAGAAGCCAGCAATTTTCCATTTAGCTTTTCCAGATATTAGAACTAGACTGCATCATTAAATAATGTACATACACTCAGGCAATTTCTAACTTTATGGTTAAGGAGGGAAAAAAAAAGTCACTGCTTCAAAATCCTTCACAATCCACTTATCCTAGAGCCATAGATTGTTGGGACCCGAGGTTCCTGTAAAGGTTATTAACATTAACTTTCTATTACTCTGAACGTTGACCAGAATCCATTCACAGCCAGTAGCAATCGATTTTTTCTTTTTTCTTCTTCCTCTTCGCTTGCCTGGAATATGAACTCTGTCTCATGGCTAAAACTTGCTGAGCAAATGCTCCCATAAAATTTTTTCTTATTTCAGGGGAAAAGCAAAACAAATCAGAAAACTTTATAAGGTGTAGGGTCTATACCTCATGTAGCAACTTATCTAACTTGTGCTGTAATTCAAGGAAGTATCGTGAGGTGATGAGGCCCTGGTGGGATTTATCCAAGCAATCACGAGCCAGTTCAATAATCTGATGGTGAGTGAAACTAAGCACTCCATCTGCGAGGGGGAGGACGTGGTCCGGGGAGTAGCTGGTGATTATTTCCTTTAGGCGCTCTTCCATCTGAGCTGTAGCCTGTTTGGAGATGACAGGCACACACGGATGTAATACAAGGAAACATATATGTAAACAACTCAATAGTCACATTTATCTAGCATTTACAAAGACCTCCACAAGTTATTAAATAGAATTCTAGAAATTAAATTTAAAAGAAGACTCCCTTCTGTAAGATACTATAATGGTACATATATATCATTATACACTTGTCAAAACCCACGGAATATACCACACAACAGAGAACCCTAATGCAAACGATGGACTTTAGGTGATTACGATATGTCAGTATAGGTTCATCGATTATAACAAACAGACCACTCTTGGGCTGTGGCGGGGATGTTGATGGGAGGGGGCTGTGCATGTGTAGGGTCAGGGAGCATTTGGGAACTCTCTGTACTTTCTGTTCAATTTTGCCATGAACCTAAAAACTAAAGTCTATTTGGAATAAAAAAGAAAGCAGCAGCAGCAGCAGCAGCAGCAGCAGCAGCAGCAGCAGCAGCAGCAGCAGCAGCCTCACCATGTGGGAAAAAGATCTGAGGTATATAGGAGAAACTGAATCTCCCAGGGTGATAATTACTTTTTTCCTCTGCCCTATCAAATGTAAAGTGGTACATGTAAGCTTCTCCAAATAACTCAGTACCTGTGAATCGCTGTGCTCTCATTTCAGATCTTGGGCTCTTTCAGATAGATTGCCAAAAGTATCAAATATTGTAGCTCTGTTTTTACCTATTCAAAAATCAGGATCGTTGCTGGAGTTTCACAGCGTGGGCCAAGAGTTTGTTCCTCTGGCTGTGTTTTAATGTACTGGGAACAAGCATCCTATATCATCCTTACTCATACCTCAAAAAGCTGCATCATGGGCAAATGGCCAAGGGGATTCCCTTGGTAACATAAATCTAAAATTTCCTTCCCAACTTTTATTTCATTCTCTGGGATCCCCGACTGCCTAATCAATGTTCCTTGCCTGCATTAATTGTATATGCTGGGAGACTCCCTCTGCTTCCTGTTCCCTTCTAAAATCCTAACCAGTATTAACTAGTATAGTCAGGATCTATTTGTCTGGTGAACAAGTGACATGTGATAAATGGCTAAAATGGCTGTAATCAGTGATATCAATGTTGGGTTCGTTACAAATAATAAGTTCTCTACTCCTGATTTATGAAGCCAAAGATTTCCTTTTGCTCTACTGCCTAGGGTTACAAAGGTGATGGGGGAGGGACAGGAACAGAATGGAGAAATTGCTTCTCCCAAATGTGTAGGAACACGCTGGTGGAAAAGCTGTGGAAAAGCTGCAAGGTGACGGGAGCTCCTTGCAGCCAGGGCATCCGGCAACAACCCTTCGTCAAGGTCTCTCTGGCTCAGTCCAAATTGCTGGTCTAACAGGGAACACTGCAACTGGACCTTTCCTTCTAAGGGGGTTAGAGGTATGATTGCTAAAGAGATCGGAAGCCACAGAAAAGAAAAATCGGGTGAAAAAAGTAAAAGACTTGCGTGACACATACCAATTTACAGGCTTCTGAGGAAGGAAAACAATTTCTGCTTGACCATACAGCAGCAGGCCCAGAACACGGGCAGAAGGAGCACCAGGGTCCAGAGGCCTTTCAAAGCTGACGCTCTCTGGAGTACCTCACCAGGCTCACCCAGTGGGTAGGACAACCAGTGGCACTCATGTTACAGCCGGTTCAGCCCACGGAATGTGTGGCTAGTTCTCGGCAGCTTTTAAAAACGTTTAGTGATTTTATCTTTCTAAAGAAGGCTATGGTGCTATTTTATAAAGAGAGTCATCAATGGACTGGACCATTACTTCCCACGGCAAACACCTTACAGAGGCTAAACCTAGGCTGCCCATTTGTTTAGATGCTAGGCATCTTCAATTCAACTCATTACCTTTGGGAATCTTTCCTTGTAGACATGGTTCATCATAATTATTTCATGGTCACAGCAGGCGGGAGAGCGTCCAGGGCTGCAAGCAAAGCAAATTACCCTTTTAAACTTGCCACAGCATGAAATGAAAATAAGCTTTTCATTTATAACAATTGGTTGCATCAAAAGTACTATGCGGTCTTTGTAAGAAAAGTGTATTAGGTAATAAACTGCAAAATCAGTCATTAGCACGCACACCTACTCACAAACGCACAGAAACCCCGAATAGTGTTCATAAAGAAAGCTCCAGAAGTGGAATGCTGCAAATTAATTATAGCTACAATATAAAGGTTCAGAAAACGTTCTTAAATTGTGATTATATTTTCTATGTTGCATGCGTTTGCGTGGTTCTAGAAACCAATTAATGAACTGCAATATAAAAGAAGACAGGGTAGCTACAAACAGCAACATCTAGGGCATGCTGAACTGTATAATTTCACACTTTCATCATACACCTGCGCTCTGCCACGTACCACTGAAGAGGTTTAAGAGTGCTCCACGGCACAGGTGTCACCACTGAAATCCATTTTCTGGCCTGGCAAATATTTATTTGGGATGCTGAGGAAGGCATTGTGTACAGTACTAAACACAGGCATACAACTCTGTGTTTTCTCTACTACAACAGTAGGTGCCTGCTCCTTCCTAGTGGTATACAGTCAGGCAATTTCAGTGCGAGTTTATATATTCCTCAGAGGACACAGCTGCTTGTAGTAGATATCCTAGGAACTCCTTTCATAAAACCAAAAATGGCACCCATGTGGTAAAATACGATGAATGAATATGTATTGAATGAATACAGCTCTAAATGAATTCGTGAAATTGGTCTTTTATTCCATATCTCAAAATAATCTAACACAATTATGCCATGTAGCTGCATTTACTATATATGACACTAAATAAGAAGGGTACAAAGGGAAAACCCTTCTCAGAAAACTCTGATGTTCAACGGAACACCTGACAAACTATGTTTTACAATAAACCTTAATATATCAAAGCAGACCACTTCTACAGCATGAAGATCTCTGGAGTATCTGTGGAGGGCCTGAAGAAAGACCACCCTGCTCCCCTTGCAGAGAAGGACCTGTTGTCCAGCTGCTGGGATTGCAGAAGGCTTCAGCTGCCAGTCCCTTCAGGGATGGCCTCAGCTACAGAGCCCCCTCACCCAAGGCCATGTCCTTCCCAGGGTACCACATCCCAGGACGGAGGCAGGGATATAAAGGAAGGGCCATCTGGCCCAGAGGGACAGCTCTGATGGGTCGTGTCATCCCTAGAGCTCCCTGTGGGGTTGGCTGCAGCTGTCACGTCTGCACTGCAGCTAGATTTCTCCCTCTGCCCAATCCTGCTTCCTCCCCACCTCCCACAGACGTACTTCCCAAGCAGTCCCTAATAAACATCCTGGTCTGTGTTACAGAGTCTGTTTCCTGAAGAGCCAAACTGTGATATACGCAATTTTTTGAGACAAGGCCAAAACAAAACTGGCTCTACTCAATGTCAAATGGACTACATATGGTACCCACAAAATACAAGGGATACAAACTCCTAACAATTTGCTCCTAATCCTGGAGAAAGTAAGACTTGTGATGGGAAGGAAGAATGAAAGATCTGGGTGGCTTTTCGTAAAGTGGAATCTGAATTCCACATGTGAACCCAAACGTGCTGTCCTTCCTTTTCAGCCCAGCCTCTTCCTGGTAAAATATTAATTGATGTAGCACCATAATTAGACGGTCTTGAAATTTCCAATGGCTCGAAGTTTCTCTAGGTGGTCCCTGTAGTCCATCACGGTTACTGCTACCACAGCAATTAGCAAATTGTTAAGGATTTAAAAGAAAAATACTAAGATGCCTTTCAATGGTAATTCACAATATCACGTGTAGATGGAAAACTATATATAGTAGCTCATAAATTAATTAGCACATATATGAATTACAGGACCAAAAGTCTTCCCTTGTAATGGTTGAAAGGAGATTATCCAACTCATTGAAATTTTTCAATCTGGGCTACAAACCTCAGACTTCGGGAACGGGGGCGCATGGGTGTATTCCTGCATCTGCTCTCTGTGGCGATGCTTTCGGTGGTACAAAAATGTTTTGATAAGAAGTGTAATTCATCTGGTGTTGGTTGATATGGTAACTGGTGCAACTTCTCCTGGGAGGAACAGGATGACTAAAACAAACCAAAGTGAGGTTTTAGGACTAAAATTAAAGAAATTCTCTAAATGAATATGAGATCACAGCATTAAATTTTGTTATATCACCGTTTTATACTACATCCTTTCCATGTTATAATTACGATAGTTAGTGCCTCAATGTATACCTTGATGTTGTCTCTGGGAGGTCAAAATGGCTTCCATATTTCATCTCATTTGTCTAAGATAATTTCCCAAAACAAAGCTTACTCTCTGGAGAAAACCCAGGCTCTGAAAATGGACAGGACCCAGTCAAAGCCACAGCAAGAAAGTGACAACTGGAGTAAGAATTTAGGTTCATTAAATAAATGACAGATTAGTTCACATTGGTACCCTTGCTTCTACCACTCGCCACAAACACTGTGACTTTTAGGTAAGTAACATAAAATGAATTCTGTGATGTATGGTCATAAATAGGTAATGGGATCTCTCTTTACAAATCATGCTACCCTTTGATGCAATTTCCATCAATATGTGTCCTGGGTAAAAAGGGGAGGGGATAAAAAAGATACTTGTCTTACGAATGCCATTGTTTTAAAAATTGGAATTTTCTATTTCTGCCTTCTTTGGCTTAGGTTTCTTTAAAAAAAAAAAAAAAACCTTCAATGGTGGTAAGTTTTTTGTCCCTTGAATATAGATTTGCTCTTTGAAAACTGTCACCACTTGGAGCAAAGTAAGGTAGAAAAGGTGAATGGCTAAATAACGCTGCTTTTAATCAATCTGAGAAATATAACTATAAAGCAAAGTGATTGCTTTCTTTGTGTGTTTTTATTGAGAGGTGAACTCTTTAAGCATTCTAACAAAAGAGATGAGAAATGTCTGAGTAATGGAAACACTGGTAGAACAAGCATATTTTGAAAGATACCCCTCATTTGAATATTCCATTCTAGCAGGTTTTTTTATTAAAAAAAAAAAAAAAAAAAACAACCCTGCCACACTAAGAGCACACTTCATAAACACTGCAGCATCACAATGCAGTAACTAGAAATTAATGACTAAAGCTTAAAAGTATCCTTATACCTTGAAATTATAAAACACCTTCTAAGTAGATACTGAGATAAACAGGACTTTTTACAGTGTAATGAGATTATTTTATAAACTATAAAAATGAGAACACTACAGAAAGACTTATGAGGTAAACCAAAGCTCTTTTCACAAAGTACAGGTATAGTCTTAAATACTGTCACTACCAAGAAAGAAAGAAAACACACATAAACTAAGTCAACTCAAGAGATCAGTAAAAGAATAGGAAAATCAATGTCAGCAGGAGAGAAGCAGCAGCGATAAAAGCAAAGATGATGAAATGAGCAAACAGAAAAACAGAATTAAGGATTTGTACATATGTCTCAAAGGTAAAGCAATGTCCACAACTCTGAATCCAAGAATTCAAAACCCCAAAACCCAGAAGTTTGTTCATAAGTATACAGTAATCCTTTTTGGCGGCAAAGGATTAATTGAAGTGATGGAAAGCTATTTAAAATATGTATTTAATCCACTTAGTATGAATGTTGATTCAGGTTGATTCTGAGCTGCTGACCCAGTTGCTGCTGAGCTGTTATGTACAGTACAGGGAGGATCATGTTACCTTTCTAAAATGTGAAAGTTAATCCCCAAAACACACCAGGCTCAAGAGTTTCACATAAGGTACTACGGACCCGTGCTTGCATGGCAAGGACACAAGCTAGTTCAGGAAGGTGGTTCCCTCTGTGGAGTGAGGGAAGAGAAAGGGAATGGGTGCGAGGGACTTTAGTTGTATTTTAATGTTTAATTTATTTTAAAAGTTTATTTAACAAAAAGCTGTAGCAAATATAACAAAATATTACCACGTGCTAACTCTAAGATGAAAATTTTGTGGTTATACCATATACATAACCATATAACTGAACTCCATAGGGAATATGCTCTGGGCTTACTGATGGGGATATGTTAAAATGAATGAGGAGGTGGGATAAGTAAGTATTAGAGAAGTGAGAGGCAAGGGGCTTCTCTGGGGAGAGAGCTTCTCTCTTCTCAGTTGGAACAAACAAGGTGTAAATGGGAAAAGGGTGACACCGAACCCAAGCGACGCCGAGATGAGTTTATGGAACTGAGAACACCCGTAGGCTCTCCAAATGGCCCAGGGATTCAAAAGGTACCAAACAGGGCCCCAAAAGTGAGTCAATAATGGACAGCAGAGAAGTCCAGGGGTCAGTTTCAGCAGAGGTCAGGAACTCAAAGGAGAACTTGTGAGTCCAACAGAGGCTGCAGGTGTCATCCTCAGGACCTCATATACTTACTGAAAAGATACTTCCGCTGGTCAACGCATCCTTGGAACAGCACTTTTACTAGAGTTTCAAGAATTAGTTTGGGAATTTCCTAATAAACTGAGTCCCATGACTTTATATTTCTAGTATGTTCTCTAAGTGTGGTGCCAGTGAGTCTCATCACCCAACTAGTTTGCATATGACTTCTGACTACATGAAAAATCAAATCCACTTTCAAAGAGTGAAGATTTACAGAAAAAAACTGTGCTTCCAGTTCTCAAGGCAATAAGATTTCCCCCAAAATGTTCTGAGTAATGGTATCATTCAAATAAACATTCAGTCTCTCAAGATAACCATTTTGCAAGGGACGGTATCCATACGCATGTGTAATTTTCCACTTGTTATTTATTAAAAGTAATATTATTTTATAGTCATACCTCATATTTATAGGTATTTATTTTTGTATTTCCATTCTTTCCCAGAGCAGAAAGTAATTCCTCTGGTAAGAAATACATGGGAGATGTCCTCCTACTGCTTCAATTCCATATTACTTATATTCAAACTAAAAATTATGTTCTGAATATTATCTTGGAAAAGCTCTGCAAATTAATTTTAACTACAAAATTTGAAGTTAAGAGAAGCTGCAATAGTAAATATTCTGTGGAAGGACTGATTAACTTCACATGGCCAAATCTTTCCAATTTCAGAATAGAGCATTTTAACACTTGAGAATTTTGCAGTTTATGTAATATCCAAAGGATCAAGACATGGCGTTTACCTTTCAGGGTTAGCAATTCTGGAATTCAGCTAACAACAATTATCTGTAAAACTTAAGCTGCATTTTCAAAGTGTCTGTAATTTATTTGTACATATTCTGTGTTTTCATCTTAAGAAACAACTAAAATGCATTTCTAATTAGCTACTTCACAACCAGTTAACCCAGAAAATGAGACTCTAAGAGTGATTCAGGTTAGATTTAGAAAAGAAGAAAATGCAACTCCTAAGCAGTTTTGCACAATGTTCGCCCTAATATATGAAGGGCGAGAACATAAAGAAACTGGGGGAAATGAGAAGCAGCATTTTAGATTTTCAATTAGCATTTTTTTTTTTTTTTTTTTTTTTTTTTTCACAGGTGGTTTAAAGACCAGTCTTTGAGGTGATCCTTGGTAGAGGGAACACTTAGGTTACAAAAGTATAGAATCCCAACATAAAATATTACAAAAACCTTGAAGTCATTCACTTTGGGCTACAGCCTGGATTATACAGCACGTGTTCTAATAGATTCCCTACAGGGTGTCTTTAAGCTCAACCCCTTCTGACTACTTTGGGAAGCAAATCATAACCTAAGTGACAAGCTTTTTGAAGACATGTTATTATTAGAAGAAAAGTCTTGAATCTGCTCCAATTTAAAAATGAAAATCATTTCAAACTTTGGTTCCCGTGTCCCCTGCATCGGCAGGTGGACTCTCAACCACTACGCCACCAGGGAAGCCCTCAATTAGCATTTTTATCAATAACCAATAAGGAGAAAAAATAGCCAAACTTCTGGGCAACAGAACCTACACTTCACAGATTTAACAGTTCCTTTGGTCTTTTGGTAAAAAGGTTAATTTTGAAAGTTCAAATTTGATTTTGAAGGGAAAAATAGGAATAAGAGATCAACAATTATACGATACTACCTTCTTCAATAAAATAAACACTTAAGAGAAAAGCTGCCCTACCTCTGGGCAGAAGCTGTTAGAAACACAGAATACATGTGTGTGACTAAAAATTGTCTCAGGAAGCTTTCTCTTTAGGCATATATGCAAGTCAGGGACAGCAGTGATTCCATTATGACAGATGGCCAGGTCAGATTTATTCATTATCAGGTTTGTTTTAAGAAATACCTTGTAAATTCCTTAAAAAAAGAAAAAGCCAAGCGCCTAGAACCCTTACTTGTATTCTTATTGCTACGACAAGGGGGTTAGTAGACAGCCCTTCGGTTCATTCTCTGTGCCTCAGAGTTTTGACCCATAAAATGATGACAATAATGACAACCACATCATGAGGTATGTTTCTACAATTAAGCCAATCAATGCGTTTTAAGTAGTGAGACTAGTACCTAACACATAGTAAGTATTTATAAAAATATAATTTCCAAGGTAATTTGTACCAAATGGGGTCCAATGCTATGTAGCTCATCTTTGCTTTTTGGATTCACTTTTTTAAAATAATGTATGATTTACTAGAGATGGAAAGAAGAAAGATCCTGTGTTCTCCCCTATTTTTCTTGCAAAAGAGAAATTTCTGTATCCAAACTATAATAAAACTTGACTGAAGGGCAAAGCAAGGCGATATAGTAAAAATAAAAAGGATTTAGAGTCAAGGAACATGATACACATTTGGGGCATGGGGAGGATTCAGTGAGAGTATGTACGAGTAAGCCACAGGGGACAAGTACTCTGTTTACTGGTGGTTGGGTTCTAATCGGAGACACTTAGGAGTCTAGGGAAGAACACCACTTAAAATTTGAAAATTATTCTTTTTGCTTTTTGGTCAATCAATTTCAGCATTCATTTTCACACCGTGGCGGCCCATACTTTCAACATCTAAAATACGTGTATAACTGAGTCACTTTGCTGTACAGCAGAAATTAACAAAACATTGTAAATCAACTATACTTCAAGTAAAAAAAATAAATAAATAAAGCTCCGTGGAGACAAATATCCCACAACATCACTAATTTAAACTGAGAAAGCATGTATCTGACCCACTGAATCACTTCTAGTAATTGCTAGGGCTCCTGTTGAAATGTTGTAGTTTGTGGCAAGAGTATCCCTTCTTCCTCTATCCTATTTTCATTGTTTCATCTTGTCTCTTTATTGATCTTAATCTACTACTAAGTTCTTTTAGTCTCTCCGTAAAAGAAAGTTCTTATCCAGAAGGCAGATTTAAGGCTTGCCATTTTTTGTCCTTTGAATGAGAAAAACTAAAAAAAAAAAAAAAAAAAAAAAAAACCTTTGCATATAAGCCACACAAGGAAAAAAACGACCCAGGCCATCAAAGTTTAATGGCATTTTCGGTACTAATATCACTGGCATGGAGCCAAAGCAATGAAACCAGATTGTGTTTCCTCCTCCCACCCAAAACACCAAATGGTATGAAAAAGAAAGCTCCCAGTCTCCTCCCAACTGGTGATCCGGGGACTCACTCAACTTGTGCATCATAGTTTAAAAGCTTGCAGCAAAATGTGTGTCCTTTTAATGTTTGTCAGCTCATCATTTGATGTGTTGCCTACTCTGAGGGGCAGACATGCAGAATTTATCCTCTCCTTCCTATCAGGAAGCACCCAGAGAAAGCACTGCCTGTGTAAGAGCTCCGGGGTGTGAGAGAGGAAAAGTGGGCACTTACAGAGACCGTGGAGCTGGGCGTGTTTGTCCCATAGCCAGAGGAGGGGAGAGAAGCCAAGGACCAGCGGCGTCCATCAGTCCTGGTGAGAAAATGAGATTAGCTTAGGCCAACACTGGAGTACAGTTACATGGGAACCCCAGGGAAACCGAGTATTTTTAGTTGAACAAATGACACAAACACAGTCAGCGAGGATGTGGAAATGTTCAGCAAGGGCCAGAGTAAACAAACATTATACAGCAGGTTGACTTTTATTTAAAGTGAATCAATACACCCAAACAAGTAGAAAGTGAATGGGGGTGATCCATATTATTGATCTCTCACTAATACACTTTGACAAAATGAATACCAGGGATAATTACATCGGTCAGACTCAGCAGATTCAGATGAATAAAAACAGAAAGGGAGGAGGGAAAACACTCTTATCTGGAAACTGATAACCGGGGCCATGATCTTTGGAAGGGCCTGAATTCCAGCATGGTACAAGAGCCTGTGGGGACTTCCATTGCATCCTCAGGACTTTCTGCTTATTATTTTCAAGGGAGCAGTCCTACTCATCACACCGAGGGGAGAAGGGATCAGGGGGCTCAAGACTGGCTCAAGCCTTAAGTGGCAAATAATTTGAGCACTAAGAAAGTGACTGACCTTGTGCACAGACTCTCTTAAGAGTTATTATACCTTCTGACACGACCTGGCTTTATAAAGAGTTCCAGCAAAAGCCTCTTGCAGGGTTTATGAGTATGCAGCCCAGCTCTAGCCAGTGAGAGGGAGTGAAGAATGAAAATTCTCCACTAGTGATAGAACCTAATGCAAAGAGTAGGGTTACCTGCCCTAATCATAGAGGCAAAGCTGTCAGGAGTCTTAACAGAGTATGGTTTTTATCTCCAAGTCGTAACAGGATGGATAGCTTCTGGGTTGAACTCTGGCTATGAATTATAGTCATTACAAGGGTCTCAGATGAGTTGCTGAGGCAGTAAAAACACTGTCGCTAAGGCAAGGGGACACCAGAAAGTCAATTTTCTGAAATCTCTGGCATTCCAGAACCATTAATTTACTAGCAATTTTGAGTGGACTATGCCTTCAAAATCACATAACAGTGTGAAAACAAATATACACACATTTGCCACGAGGAATACAGGAAGCACATACTTTTCTAAAGAGCTATACTGCTTTCTTAGATGCAGGATCATATGTAGACTTTGTAACTCATGATTAGATTAATTTACCAAATGAGAGACAAGAGTAGACCAAATTTACCACAGACACATTCACAATAAGTTGAAGTCAGGGAATTCACCAGCATTCGATTTGAATTTGAGAAATGTCACAATCAGATGTTTATGTAAAAAACTGACATTTTAGCCTAAATTACAGTCAAGGGAGAATACAATCATAGGCCAGCAGGGATGTTGCCTTCAATAAATGCAAATGGTCCACAAAGACAAAATGGAGAAATTCAGGTGGACAAATCACAGAAGTAATACAATGTTAAGATTTTAGTAAAATTTACCTGTCGTTTCTGTGACCACGATTGGAGTACAATTGAATCAAGTATGTATTTTTTTTAAAAAAAGAAGCAAAATAAGATGTTTGTAAATATACCAGATAAAAGGAATGAAAAGAAATAAATCACATGTTCTCTAGAAATAATTTTATACTATTGAAAATGTTAAAAGAAAATAATTCTAAAAACATGCTCATAAAGACATCTGACCATCAATTAAATGAACACAGGTTGGTTCTAGTTTATTTGCCTAATTATTAAAGACTTAACCCATTCCTGGACTTTCTATTTTAAACACCTCCAATTTTTAAACGGACTTGTTCAGTCCATTTAATAGCAATTATCAGAAACTAGTCTCTGGAAAGAGGGGGGGACACAATTTCCCCCACTTTGTTTTTGCT